GCATGTGCTCTGACCAGGAAGCGAACCATGACCTCCTGGTGCATAGGTCAATGCTCAACCACTGACTCACACTGGTCAGGCTTGGACCCATCTTTGATACCTTCTTCATTTCTATATCGAGGCCACTGTCAGGTCCCAGGATTCTCTCTAAAACAGCAGTTCTCAACCTGTGGGTCGCGACGCCTTTGGCGGTCGAAAGACACTTTCACAGGGGTTGCCTAAGGCCATCCTGCATATCAGATATTTACATGACGATTCATAACAGTAGCCACATGACAGTTATGAAGTAGCAACGAAAATAATTTTATGGTTGGGTCACAACATGAGGAACTGTATGTAAAGGGCCAGAAGGTTGAGAACCACTGCTCTAGAGCAAGCATGTCAAACATGCTCAAAAAACATTTATTTGAAGCATGTGGCCCGCCAGCCGCGAGTTTGACATGCTTGCTCTGAGGAAATGCAGCTGGAGACAGGAGATGCTCCGTTTCGACTCAGCAAATTCTCCCAGCTCTCAGTTCACAAAAATTAAACTTCGCACATCAGGGGCCCAAGTCAGTAATGCTGGAACCCTGGTGAGGTCTGCACTGTGTTTCCAGCCCCCGCGGGAGGCTGCCTCGGAGCAGGGGTCCGCAGGCTCCCCTCTCCCCTCCCCCCTCCCCTCCCCCCTCTCTGTGTGGAGAAGCGGGCAAGGGGCTGCGTTTACCTTGAAGGCTCTGTTGAGCACCTCCTCTCCGCCTCTGTTCCCCAGCAGGTTTACGACCACTTGCTTCCCATACTGCTCCTTCAGGAGGACCATATGCCTGCAACAGAGCAGGCGGCACCGTGACCCTGTCACCAGGACGCAGACTGAGCCCGCCTTCAGGGGAGAGGATGTGGAAGGGACCTGCTGGGCACGAAGGCCCAGGATGCATCTGCCCATGAAAGGGCAGGAATAAACCTGGCACACGAGGAAGGACTTTCCAGAAAGCGCCCCATTAAACCCAGAACAGCTTGACCTGGCCGCATGAACAGAGCCTTACAAATGCCAGGTGTGTTATCTCTGAAATTAATCTGTTTCACTTGGTGCCGTCTGTCCTCCGAACTGGACAACCTGGTAGGAGAACAGTCAACCACAGGTCCAATTTTTATCTGAGAGCTGCTGTATTTTTTTTTCCATTTCTTTTTATGTAAAAATACGTTTGTTTGTTTTAAGAGAGAGAGGCAGAGAGAGGAATAGAGAGATAGAAACATCCATGAGATGATTAGCTGCCTCCTGCCCTCCTGCACGGCCCCCACGGGGACTGAGCCGGCATGTGCCCTGACCGGGAATCAAACCAGCAACCTCTTGGTTCCTGGGTCGACACTCAACCGCTGAGCCACGCTGGCTGGGCTAAGAGCTGCTTTATGATGGTCCAAACAAGGAGACCTGTTTGGCTCAGTGGATAGAGCATCAGCCTGCAGACTGAAAGGTCCCAGGTTCGATTCCGGTCAAGGGTATGTACCTTGGTTGTGGGCACATCCCCAGTAGGTGTTGTGCAGGAGGCAGCTGATCAATGTTTCTAACTCTCTATCCCTCTCCCTTCCTCTCTGTAAAAAATCAATAAAATATATATTTTTTAAAAATACATTTGTTGAAATATTAGGGAGAGACAAATGTTTCCTTTTATCACCAGCTTTTGAAAAGTAACTTTACAACTTTAACAATGGTTAGAAATGCTGAAATGCAGTGTTTAAAAAAAACATAGGAAAAAGACACAAGCAAAAAGCGGATGGAAAACTGTAATCTAATAGGGCCATCTTTAAACCTAAATATAGAAGAAAGACCAGAAGATAAAGCATCATGATGTTAGAAGAGGGGGAATTTTGTGTCATTTCAAATTATTTTCTTCTTTAAACATTTCACTATTTTCCAAATGTCTACAATGACATGTTTCTTTTATAAACAAAATTTTTAAAAAGTTAATTATCACAAAAGAACCAAACCTCATAAGCGAAAAAAACACACTCTTTTACTAACTTGGAGGGGTGGCAGTGGGTAGAAGAATATGATTCTGAAGGGGGGCAGTGCAGGTTTCTTGCTGCGGAGTTAAGCTTAAGTCTGCTGGCAGCTCCTGTCTCTGTGAATGGCCTTTCCTAGAGCAACACTCCTGGAGGCCCCGCTCTCCCGGCAGCTCTTACTGGGGGAAGACACAGGGACGGGGTCGGCCTCCTACAGGCTGTGCTCTGTCCCTGGAGCTGGGGCATGCAGCTCTGGCTGAAGCTGCCAGAAGAAATGCAACGTTCCTCGCCTGGCCTTCTGGGCTCTTTGGGGTCTCTGCCCAGAGAAGGGGTGTCCTGGCCTGAGGTGTGACATGTGACAGAACAGCAGGCTCTGCTCTGGTGGGAAGTCCGAGCTGCCCAGCGCTGAGTGAGCTCCTTAATTCGGGGTGAAATGTGAGGAAGCCCACTGTGGCCACACATCCGAGCTGTGACCAAGCCACAATGCAGCTTGTCAGAAATAAGGCTGTCTGATGCCCACATACATCTCCACTGGCTCCAAATTCCAAGGCTGGGAGAGGAACACGTTACTCATTACTCATGTCACCGGCCCCACACACCCTCGATCGAATCATTCACTGCCCTGAGCTGGCTCCTTGGTCTGTCACATAGGCCAGTCCTCCTCCTGTGAGGGGCGGGCATGAGGAGAACAGGCGAGTGACAGTGACGAGTCCAGTGTTTGGCACATGGGAGCTGGTTTTCCTTTCCTTCCTTTTGATTTAAAAATAAGATAGCACGCTTTGTATGAATAAACTGAGACTCACTTCAGTGGCTCTAAGGGACAGAGTCTTGGAGTCCACACTGAGGTCAGGAGAGCAAGGCTCCTCCTGGCATTGGTGGCTCCGTGTGTTAGGGACTTTATCCAACCTTTCAGCTCATCTGCTCCTGTCAGATGGCGCTCCTTGGAAAACGGGGAGTTTTCCAGCACACCGGGGAGTCAGATTTCCACTTGGCAGCATCCTTCTCCAACCCAGGGCATAACTGAGGGGCCAGCAGTTAAACCCTCCCTGATGTCCAGACACAAGCAGGTCTGTGCACAGCGAGAGAGGGCAGATGGAGTGGGTCACCATCCTGCAGAGTGAGACCGGGCACCGCCCAGTGACAGGCTAACGCCGTCATCAAAACTGTACGACACCTGAGCAGCCGCAGCCCAAGGCCTGCTGGAGACACCCCCTTCCGCAGGCATGGCAGATGGCAGAACGACAACAAGCAACCGGGGAAGCAAGACAGCAGGGTCCCCGGGAAAGGATCCCATGGAAAGGACTTTGTAAGTGGGGGAGGGTGGAGGGATTTACTCTGGGCCAAACACATCAAAGAACTGAGAAACTCAGAGATCTGGGGGCACCTCTCCAGGGGGTGACACAGCCCCCCCTCCTCCGGGGGGCCCACTGTGCCCCATCTCGGTCTGTGAGAGAAGCCTGTGACCTCGCTCCCAGACACTCACTTCCAAACTGCAGCCCAATGAGAGCGACGAGCCAGTAGCTGTCAGGACAGACAGACACGAGGGGGGCACAGTCTGGTCAAACTTCGGGGTTAGAGGCATTAAAAAAGAAACTCCTTGCAAGCCAGAATTTTATGTGGAGGCTGCCTGTTAAAGGACTTACGGCCTCAGAAAGGTGTTTGGGGATTCGCAGAAGAGATTTGAGTTTATCCTTAGATTGAGGGGAGAAGCGAGTGTAAGAAATGAGAGGGTTTGTACTCCCAAGTATACACACACACACACACACACACACACACACACACACACTCCGGCCAGCTCAGGAGGCAAAATCACTTTTGAAGTTTTATGACATTCACTAAGATAATTTTTAAACTTAGTATTTAGATTAAAACAGCAGATACTTTAGGAAGCTATTAATGCTTCAAGTTCAAGTTAATAGTTCAGTTTAAAGTACTAATAGTTCAGGTTAAACTTGCAAAACATTTAGGGTGTTATGGTCCAACTTGTGTTTTAAAATGTGAACTATGTATACGCCAACTTTTTCCTAGAACGATACATAAAAAGCCAACAGTGGACTCTCTGGGAGTGAGAACTGGGAGTTAGGGTACTGCGACTTCTCACTTTATTCTATGTGGTGGCATCAGACCTGGGACTATATCAATTTTAAAACGAACACAAACGGCTACAAACACCCGATGATTCAGAGGAGCCCCTGTGAACCAGGACGCGTGGGTAAAGCTTCACCACGGGAGGGACGGGAGGGACGGTAAGATTACACAATCCCGCGCGCTACCTGAGCATTTATTACTGAGCCTCGGGGAAACCTGAGCGCAGGCAACAGCCTCACTTTGGAAACTCCCTTTTGCATAAAGGACCAAAGTAAAGGGCAAGGTCAGACGCAGGGCTGGGGGCCTCCCTTCCCGCTGTCCCCTGCACCGCCGTCTGGTGGGAGGGAGACCCTGAGGATGACAGACGGCCTTACCTGTCGAAAGCAGGGGCGTTGGCTTCCAGGCCTCTGTTGAGTCTCAGATGATGCGAGCCAACCTAAAGCAAAGAGAACAACCCCGTGACTCCTGCTGCTCTGCGAACCCAGAAGTGGTCCCCACTCCCTCTCTCTGCCAGCCCCGATGTGGCCCCTCCCAGCGCAGGATGGCCAGGCCCCGAACTCAGGTCCCGCAGCCCGAGTGGGGCTCTGCTGCGGCCCCGTCTGAGCTGCAGTGTGGACCATGCCACTCACATTCTTCCACAGACAGAAGAGAAACTCCAGGGTAAGACCACGAGGCCTGCGTCAGACCCACAAACCCCTCCGTGGTGAGAGGTACAGCTAAGCCAGTGGTTGGCAAACTGCGGCTTGCGAGCCACACGCGGCTCTTTGGCCCCTTGAGTGTGGCCACGAAGTTTCTTTCGCACTGTACGTGCGTGCCTGCATGTGGTATTTTGTGGAAGAGCCACACTCAAGGGGCCGCAGTTTGCTGACCACTGAGCTAAGCCAACGGGAGAGAGACCACTGTCCCAGCATCCTCTGCAGCTACGGGGCCCTCGATGGCCCTGACGCTTGAGTTACAGCTGCCTGGGAACTAATGCGTCTTGTTGCTTAGAGCTACCTGTTAAACACTGGAAGTTTAAAAACAACCTTGAAACTAACGTGTGGTTACTGAGCCAGCTAGAAGGACTCTCTCTGAACATTTCCTGGACAATTTGAGGACAGTAACGGATTGTGACCTAGAGAGTAAAACGGGAATCCATGAGTCCATACCATGGGAGGGGACATCTGGCCCTCGGGTAGTAAAAGGCCCGAGAAATCATTTGACCTGGCCCTGCCCAGACATGAGCGGGGGGTCAATTAAATGTTTGACCAAATACAGGAGGCTAATTTTTAAGTTGGTAGTTTTGTATGGTCTGAGAATGATGTTATAAATATCCAAAGGGCCCCTGGCCAAAAAAAAGGTACCCCCACCCCTGAATACAGATGACAGCTGGCCAGCTAGGTGAATGGGTAGGAGGGTTGATGGATGGGTGGGTGGG